TTCCCAAGGATAGGTCACCCCCAGTTCCATATGTGCCACGCCCAAGCATATTTTGCAGGGTGTGTAATGTTTTCCTGTGCATCCAGAAGGATCACAACTGTTGGGGTGATTATCATTCTAAAGTAGAGTACTGGAGATAGAATTAATTTTGTAGACAATTTTACCTTGCATTTTAAACATTTGGGTCTTGCTACAGGCTTTGTAAATTGAAAAATGTTAATTTTTTATATTAAAATATATTTTTTATTAAGTTTATTAATATTTTATTAGAAGCTGTGACTATATGACACTGTATTAAATGATATAAGTTTCATTTGATATCTCATTTATGGTAGTATGTTGACCATTAAACAACTTAGAAACATTTATTTGTTGGTCCTCTTGTATCCTTAAAATCCACCCCCGGGAGCCTGGGAATGAAAGAGTTAAGTGATCTTTCCATACAACCCGAACGGGCCGATGGGACTCAGTCAAGAATGACCACAACCGCTAAATAGAGACCAGCGCTGAAAAGCGTTCAAAGTGAGAATGTTTAAGAGGAAAAAAATCGGGAATTTTACAACCGACCGCTTAATGCATGTTCGACTATTAATTCCAAATTAGCCAATCAGCCCACGTGAAGAGCTCTATTCACCTGTATGGCATATACTAAAAACCGCCGTAAGGTGGGTAGATGGAGTAGAGTTATGGAGCACGAAGAGAAAGTCCAAGCAGACGAAAGAAGCCAAAGTCCAGCAATTACGCAGGGAAATTCATATCTTTACCTTCTGAAATCGTAGCTCTAAGATTCTTAAGAATCCGTCCTGTGATGCTACCCATGAAACCACGTAGCCATTTACACTCCCGACCGGGAGGATAAACGGAACCTCGACCCACCCCTCCCCCCTTCCCATGGCTTTTTCTTAAAAATGACTGTAATAAATATGCTATCGTCAGTAGAGACGCCCCCCTAAAACATTTACGTTGTCGCAGTTTTTTTAGATCTGGGGTGAAGTCAAAATATCAGGGCTTACTGACTTTTCGGATCCGGTTCACGTTATTAAAAGAGGGAAGGAGATTTATCGTTGCTCGTCTTGACGTCGGCGAATATCTCGCATGATTTTTTTTTTTTGCGTTAACGTAATTAAGCATTTTAGATTGAACATAACAGGAATGCCCAGTGGATCTGTGACAACGCTCTTTCCATGCCCGTCTCTCCAAGTTTGATCCTTACTCCTCAAAAAACCAGCACTCTAAATTCAAATTGCGAATGCCACCTTATAAAACTGTTTTTATTTCACATCTTGCATGTCACCCAGTCGAGGGTCTCAATTAGCAGTAGATCGGTCAAAAAACTAGCTGTTTAGACGTAAAAAATTGACAAATTTTAACCGTTTAATTATAGAAAAAAAACTTTAAAAATCTTTCCTTCCCTCAGTGTTTTACTTTGTGTTATTCTGAGTTAACCGCAGCAGAAAATTGGCCACAATTTAGCCGTTAAAAAATCCCCTCGGTCGGCCCTCCTCAGTTTCAAGAAAGTTCCTGTTTTTTGAAACAGGCTGTTTTAGTTAAGTTTGCAATCGTGGAAAAAAATTCATCCATATTATCGCATGATGAGGACGCTTTCGATAAAGAGAATAAAGCAGCATCTTCCAAAGTGGAAGGTAATTTCTTTTTCCTGGCCTCCAACGATATATGACAAAACATCATAACTGTCGCATTACATGCAAGAGGAGCGCGTTGCGTGACGGCTACCAACGAAACTAGAGGATATAAAATCTGAAAATATCGAGGTTTATATCTCATTTAATAACTCTATCCAAGGAAATGGGAAAAGTTGAGCGAATTAGACATAGGTGCGGACTACTTCAAACGACAAGATGTGACAAAACATTCTGTGTCGCGCAACGAACTAAAGGAGTGCGTAGCGTGACATCCTAAGAAACGGTTCCCAATGATCGTCATTAGCAGTTATAGAGTCAGAAAATATCGAAGTTTATCTCTCATTCAATTAACCTATTCAAAGAAATGGATAAAAGTTATTAAGCGAATGCTACTTCAAACGACAAGACTCAGTCAAGGATGACCACAACCACTAAATAGAGACCACCGCTGAAAAGCGTTGAAAGTGAGAATGTTTAAGAGGAAAAAAAATCGGGAATTTTACAACCGACCGCTTAATGCAGGTTCGACTATTAATTCCGAATTAGCCAATCAGCCCACGTGAAGAGCTCTATTCACCTGTATGGTATATACTAAAAACCGCCGTAAGGTGGGTAGATGGAGTAGAGTTATGGAGCACGAAGAGAAAGTCCAAGCAGACGAAAGGAGCTTAAGTCCAGTAATTACGCAGGGATATTCATATCTTTACCTTCTGAAATCGTAGCTCTAAGATTCTTGAGAATCCGTCCTGTGATGCTACCCATGAAACCACGTAGCCATTTACACTCCCGACCGGGAGGATAAACCGAACCTCGACCCACCCCTGCCCCCTTCCCATGGCTCTTTCTTCAAAATGACTGTAATATATATGCTATCGTCAGTAGAGACGCCCCCTTAAAACATTTACGTTGTCGCAGTTTTTTAGATCTGGGGTGAAGTCAAAATATCAGGGCTTACTGACTTTTCGGATCCGGTTCACGTTCTTAAAAGAGGGAAGGAGATTTATCGTTGCTCGTCTTGACGTCGGCGAATATCTCGCATGACTTTTTTTTTTTTTTGCGTTAACGTAATTAAGCATTTTAGATTGAACATAACAGGAATGCCCAGTGGATCTGTGACAACGCTCTTTCCATGCCCGTCTCTCCAAGTTTGATCCTTACTCCTCAAAAAACCAGCACTCTAAATTCAAATTGCGAATGCCACCTTATAAAACTGTTTTTATTTCACATCTTGCATGTCACCCAGTCGAGGGTCTCAATTAGCAGTAGATCGGTCAAAAAACTAGCTGTTTAGACGTAAAAAATTGACAAATTTTAACCGTTTAATTATAGAAAAAAAACTTTAAAAATCTTTCCTTCCCTCAGTGTGTTACTTTGTGTTATTCTGGGTTAACCGCAGCAGAAAAATGGCCACAATTTAGCCGTTAAAAAATCCCCTCGGTCGGCCCTCCTCAGTTTCAAGAAAGTTCCTGTTTTTTGAAACAGGCTGTTTTAGTTAAGTTTGCAATCGTGGAAAAAAAATTCATCCATATTATCGCATGATGAGGACGCTTTCGATAAAGAGAATAAAGCAGCATCTTCCAAAGTGGAAGGTAATTTCTTTTTCCTGGCCTCCAACGATATATGACAAAACATCATAACTGTCGCATTACATGCAAGAGGAGCGCGTTGCGTGACGGCTACCAATGAAACTAGAGGATATAAAATCTGAAAATATCGAGGTTTATATCTCATTTAATAACTCTATCCAAGGAAATGGGAAAAGTTGAGCGAATTAGACATAGGTGCGGACACTACTTCAAACGACAAGATGTGACAAAACATTCTCTGTCGCGCAACGAACCAAAGAAGTGCGTAGCGTGACATCCTGAGACACGGCTCCTAATGATCGTTATTAGCAGTTATAGAGTCAGAAAATATCGAAGTTTATCTCTCATTCAGTTGACCTATTCAAAGAAATGGACAAAAGTTATAGAGCGAATTCTACTTCAAACGACAAGAAATGGCTTATGCAGGTTGATGCAGAAATTTCCTTCCCTTTGTTATTGATTTCCTTTTCCATTCTGACAAAATACCAAGCGACTTGTTTCATTGTTTGACATTCAAATGTTAGTTTATTGTACTTAGATAATATGTAAACAATCTAAATGGAGTGACTAAATAAAATCATCTAACTCCAACTTCCAGCTCGTTCTGAGCTTCTTCTAATGCTTTGTAGGCCAGTAACTAAAATTAAAATAAAACTTCTCGTTTTGCCTTTAGACGATTAGTTTAAACAATATACTTAAAATGAATCGTTCTGCTTGTAAAAAATAACACAATTTATCGCATTCAAAATTAAAGGAGAAATCTTAGAAAATTAATTAATACCAAGACGAAATCCTTGTCATTACGGCCAAACTCTGTCGTATTAAGTCCAGATAAACTTAATTATGATCGGCTGAAACTAACTTTAAGTACCAATGACTGGGTACAAATCCTCTAAAAGTTAATCATAATTTCCATCTGACGTAAACTAACATAATCTAGCAATCGGAAAACTGATTACTGTCCAATTTCCGTGGAAATTCTCCACACACGCACATGGCTGTAAAAGCTTTACATCACTCATGAGAGAAAAAACCGATTGAGAAAAATCTGCAAAAAAAAAACTGTGGAAAACGATTTCAAGACGTTTCAACTTCGACGTAAACTTAACGCCTAAATCCTCTCAGTAGGTAATACTTAGATTAAAAATAACTTTTTACATAGCAACTCATGATAATTTCAAGGCATCATACGAAAACAAAACAGTTGTTTCAGCAGGATATCAAAGATGAAGCTCGTAAGAGCAGTTCAGACAAGCAAAAAGTCAACTTTTGAATCAAAGGAAATCCGTCCTCTTGTTAAACTTGACTTTGGCCTTCTTTTGGTTCTTCCTGCTTTGAAAAGAAGACTCTTGAAAAAGATTTCATCGGTAGCTTACTGGTTTCTGGTCCAAACATCAACGTTTACAGGTACCTTAAAACTCCCTGGGATTCCAATGCTCACTGCCTTAACTAAAAAATAAAAGAATCTAAGTTTAGGGAGGATAATTGAGTTTCCATGAAATATTTCACAGCACTTGAAACGATACATTACACAACAGGATCAGTGTTTTAAAACAAATTTGCTGTTTTACTCCTGTCATGTTTCCAAAAAAGAATGTTATTATCGTAAACGTGTCCACTTGGTTGTACTGCATCTCAATTTGTCGGAGCAAAAAATAAATTCGTAACCCAACTGAAAGGAAAATAATACGCAAGTATCAGGGCGCACACGTAAGTAATAACTTTTTACTAAATTAGAAAGTATAAACAGAGTATTTACTTACTGCAGCCTCTAAATATCCTTGAAATCCAGGTTGACGTCGTCACCAATGAGTACAAATGGTGCCCAGTAAATCTCCTTCTTGAACTTTTCAATTTCTCTCATACACTTCATGGCCTGATTGAGAGCTTCACTTGCCCTCTTGCCTTTGGCAAGTGCATCGTAGAAGAAACTCATGAACTCCAGGGTTCCCTCGTCGTCAATCGCCCACAAGGTTGCCACAACAGATCTAGCACCGGCACCCAAAAGTGCACGCGCCATACCGACCACACCCTCTGCCATGACCTCCCCACGAGCAGTGTGACAGCAGCTGAGTACAACCAGACGTGCTCTTAGCCCAGCTTCTATGACGTCTTTCATCGTCAGTAGATAGTCTTTCTCTTGCGGCTGAGGGTTTTCTCTTGTGGTGTTTGGTGCCAGGATAACTTCTCCAGTTTCCAGTTTACCGTGCGCTGCAATGTGAATTAACGCCACTGATGATATTCGTTTTAACACTTCATCTTTTGTTGCCATTTGTCCAGTGAGGGGGGAAACATGGAGGATACGTCCGATCATCTCCACTTCTTTCCTTGCTCCTGGAAGTTGCACCAAAAGACTTCCTTGATAGATGATATGTTTAAAACATGGATCGCCGACAAGCAATGCACCAGTCTTCATGTGAAAGTCAGCTGGACAATCATGAATTAGTTTCAACGTCGTCAGAGAGGGAAGGACACGAATTCTGAAAGAATCACTCAGATATGATGAGTCAGAGTCCTGCAGCGCTGCATAAGGCACAAGGCAAAATGGCCCCTCAGGAACAAATGTGATCTCGTCGTTGCCTTCGATCAGGTCAGCGATAGGAGCAACGATGATGTCATGCAGCTTCTTTAAAGCACTTGATTGGGAGTGCCTCACATCAACTGGGATCACTTGATTGGCCACTTTCTCTTCTGTCGGCGAATCAAGCGGAGGATTTTCGATTGGAACAGTATCTCTTGCACCGATCTCCTTCAGAGCAGTTTTGTTCAGTAGCTTGGTGAAACATTCCAATTCATCCTCATACTTATAATTGTTGACGTGTACCTGTCTCATCTGGATGTTATCTTCACTGAGGCAAACCCATAAGTAAACGCATGGTCCATTAATAGCTATGATAACTGTGCTCAATGGAACCCAACTCAGAGATGTGCTGTGCGTTGAAGAATCTCCAGGCTGATATTTTGTGGTCATGAGATCTCTCAGAGCTTGAGCACGTCCTTTCTCTGCGGCAAGAAGAGCCTTTACAACTTGACCTTGATCGAGATTTATACGCCACAAACCTTTGTATGCACTTTGGTGCTGATTACGATAAGAAATCTTCCACTGATCGTTGAGTTGAAGACTGGCCCTGATATCATCATACAACTGTACACTCGAGTGATAACAGTCAAAGGCCATCATAAGATTTCCTTGGCACTCAAAACTGCTTCCAAGGGAACAGAGTGAGCACGCCTCTCCAGTCTTATCTCCCACTTCTTTGGATATTTCTAGGTGACGTTGAAAACACTCAATAGCTGTTTTGAACTCTCTTTGACCGTAATGAATCCTGCCGAGAAGACAATAACTTCTTCCCTCTCCGGCCTTATCTCCCACTTCTTTAGCAATTTCTAGATGACGTTGATGGTACTGGATGGCTGTTTTAAACTGTCTTAGACTGTGATAAGCGTTGCCGAGACCGCCATAACTAATTCCCTCTCCGGCCTTGTCTCCCACTTCTTTAGCAATTTCTAGATGACGTTGATGGTACTGGATGGCTGTTTTAAACTGTCGTAGACTGCCATAAGCGTTGCCGAGATTGCCATAACTTGCTCCCTCTCCGGCCTTGTCTCCCACTTCTTTAGCAATTTCTAGATGACGTTGATGGTACTGGATGGCTGTTTTAAACTGTCCTAGACTGCCATAAGCGTTGCCGAGATTGCCATAACTTCCTCCCTCTCCGGCCTTGTCTCCCACTTCTTTAGCAATTTCTAGATGACGTTGATGGTACTGGATGGCTGTTTTAAACTGTCCTAGACTGTGATAAGCGTTGCCGAGATTGCCATAACTTCTTCCCTCTCCGGCCTTGTCTCCCACTTCTTTAGCAATTTCTAGATGACGTTGATGGTACTGGATGGCTGTTTTAAACTGTCCTAGACTGCGATAAGCGTTGCCGAGATTGCCATAACTTCTTCCCTCTCCGGCCTTGTCTCCCACTTCTTTAGCAATTTCTAGATGACGTTGATGGTACTGGATGGCTGTTTTAAACTGTCCTAGACCTTCATAAGCGTTGCCGAGATTGCCATAACTTCCTCCCTCTCCGGCCTTGTCTCCCACTTCTTTAGCAATTTCTAGATGACGTTGATGGTACTGGATGGCTGTTTTAAACTGTCCTAGACTGTGATAAGCGTTGCCGAGATTGCCATAACTTCTTCCCTCTCCGGCCTTGTCTCCCACTTCTTTAGCAATTTCTAGATGACGTTGATGGTACTGGATGGCTGTTTTAAACTGTCCTAGACTGCCATAAGCGTTGCCGAGATTGCTATAACTTCTCCCTCTCCGGCCTTGTCTCCCACTTCTTTAGCAATTTCTAGATCACGTTGATGGTACTGGATGGCTGTTTTAAACTGTCCTAGACTGTGATAAGCGTTGCCGAGATTGCCATAACTTGCTCCCTCTCCGGCCTTGTCTCCCACTTCTTTAGCAATTTCTAGATCACGTTGATGGTACTGGATGGCTGTTTTAAACTGCCCAACACGACAATAAGCACATCCGAGACTGGCATAAGTGTGTGCTTTGACTTTCAGTTCGGCATTCGATTTCCTTAGTAATTGAAGCAGACGTTCGTTATTGTTTTCAATCTTAAAACGTGTCAAGGGTAGATAAATCACGAGCGAATTTGCGAAAATGCAATGGAAATATGTGTTTTCAAAATAATTAGAGTATTGTATGAAACCCTAAAATTGGAATGATAATTCGAACGTGGGTTTCTTAAAGAGATTTGAGTTTAGGTTTAGGTTCGGTCGTCATGGTGATGCTCGTTTGAAGTTAAAAATGAGGGGCATTCAGCAGAAACTTTGGGAATTAGTTAATATGGCCTCTTCTTTTAAGTTAAGTTTCGTGGAATAAAAGAAAGAACTCCTTAATAATATTTTAGCTTCTTTAAACTGCTCAGTGCAGTATAAGAGAACATCGCTTCCATTATGTGTAGAAGAAT